TTCATAAAACTAGCCAAACTGACCAAGAAAAAGAGAGACTTAAATCAGAATCAGAATGAAGGAGTAGACACTACTACCAACCTTCCAGAAATAAAAATGATTACAGAGAATACTGTGAACAATTGTACACCAACAAATTAGATAACCCAGATGAAATGGCAAATTCCCTGAAATATACAAACTACCAAAACTGATGCAAGAAAAAATACACAATCTGAATAGACCTGTAACGTGAGGAGATTGAATTTTTAGTCAAAAACTACCCAAAAATAAAAGGCCCAGATATCTATCTTCACTGCTAAATTCCATCCAACATTAAATGAAGAATTAATACAATTAATACTAATTTTTTTATGAACTCTTCCAATAAATAGAAAAGGAGAGAATATTTCATGGCTCTTTTTCTTTCTTTTTTTTTTTTTGAGACAGGGTCTCACTCTGTTGCCCAGGCTGGAGTGCAGTGGCACAATCTCCACTCACTGCAACCTCCGCCTCCTTGGTTCAAGTGATTCTTGTGCCTCAGCCTCTCAAGCAGCTGGGATTAAAGGTGTGCACCACCATCCCCAGCTAATTTCTTTTCGTATTTTTAGTAGAGATGGGGTTTCACCATGTTGGTCAGGCTGCTCTTGAACTCCTGGCCTCAAGTGATCTGCACCCCCCAGCCTCCCTGAGTGCTGAGATTACAGGCATGAGCCACCACGCCCCGCCCACAAATGATATGAGGCCAGTATTACCCTGATGGCAAAATCAGAAAGTGACATCATAAGAAAAAACTATAGAGCAATATTTTTAATCAATATGCTAGCAAAAATCTTTAATGAAAACTATTGACTAGGTGTGGTGGATCACGCCTGTAATCCCAGCATTTTTGGAGGCTGAGGTCAGTGGATTGTTTGAGCCAGGAGTTCAAGACCAGCCTGGGCAACATGGCAAAACTGTGTCTCTACAAGAAATATAAGTTAGCCAGGTAGGCTGGACGGGGTGGCTGACACCTGTAATCCCAGCACTTTGGGAGGCTGAGGCAGGTGGATAACCTGAAGTGAGGAGTTTGAGACCAACCTGACCGACATGGTGAAACTCTGTCTCTACTAAAAATTCAAAAAGTAGCTGAGCATGGTGGTAGGTGCCTGTAATCCCAGCTATTTGGGACACAGGCAGGAGAATCACCTGAACCCAGGAGGCAGAGGTTACTATGAGCTGAGATCATGCCACTGCACTCCAGCCTGAGCTATAGAGTGAGACTCTGCCTCAAAAAAAAAAAAGAAAGTTAGCCAGGCATGGTGGCTCATGCCTGTAGTCTCAAGCTACCTGGGAAGCTGAGTTGGGAGGATTGCTTGAGCTCAGGAGGTTGAGGATGCAGGGAACCATGATTGAGCCATTGCACTCCAACCCGGGTGACTGACTGAGTGAGACCCTGTCTCCAAAAAAAAAAAAAACACCTCAGAAACAGATTCTATTGATTTATTTACAGTGTTTGAGTACATTGCTTTGTATAGTTTGCTTAGATATTGTTGTAGGTATTACAATATATGTATATAACCTGTCCCAGTCTAATATATAACCTATCCAGTGTTTTACCAAGTTGAGTGAAGTGTGGAAACTTTTTTTCCATGTAGGTCTCTTTGTCCTCCTCACTTTTTAAATATAACTGTCTTAATATTTCCTCTAAATGAAGCTACTCCATTTTAGTGGAACTGGAAGTGTATATACTTGTCTTTTATCTGTCAACCTTACTAATTATTTCTTGTAATTCTTCCTTGAGTTGTCTTAAATTGCTATATATAGTCATATATTCCACAAAATGACATTTTTATCCCTTCCTTTCTTATGTCTATACCTTTTATTTTTCTCACTACAAGCAGAAAAAAATTGAGTATGGTTTTCTGTATCTTAATGTCCATAATAAATGTATGTATATTTTTTTACTTTTCTTATATACAATGAGATATTTACATTTTTTCTCCTTCCCTGCTTCTTAGTTTTTGTGACATAATCCAGATGTGTTATGTCTCCATTTTTATCTGACCATAATTTTCATTTTTTATATGATTTTCTTTTTTTGGAGACAGGGACCTGGACCTCTCCCTGTCATCCAGGCTGGAGTGCAGTGGCACAGTCATGGCTCACTGCAGTCTCAACCTCATGGGCTCAAGTAATCCTCCTACTTTAGCCTCCTAACTAGCTGTAACTACAGGCGTGTGCCACCACGCCCAGCTAAATTTTTTTTAAATGGAGACAGTGTCTTACTATGTTGCCCAGGCTGGTCTCAAACACTGGACTCAAGTGACCCTCCCACCTCAGCCTTCTAAAGTGCTGGGATTATAGGCATGAGCCACCATGTCAGGCCTGTTTTTTAATACAATCTATCTTTACCTACTTCTTCTCTCACTTTGTGTCCTGCTCTTCCCCTCATTCCATCTACTTTTAGCCTTAGTGGTACTTTTGCTCTTCCTTCAACAACATATCCAACATGCTGTGTCTCAGGGCTTTGCATTTGTTATTGCCTCTGCCTGAAATGCTTTTGCCCCTTCCCCCTAGATATGTATGTGTCTTTCTCCCTCACTTTCTAAGAGGTCTTTACTCAAATGTCACTTTCACAGTGAGATCTTCCCTGATCATCCCTCCAAAATTGTAACCTGTCCCGCCACCCATCAAATCCACCATTCTTTTTTCTGTTTTTCTTTTCATAACACCTATGATAATACAGCATATTATTTTATCTACTAACCGGTCTAGTTTATTTCTTTTTATTAGAATGTAAGTTCCATGAAGGCAAGAATCTTTCTCTGTTTTGTTCACTTCTTTTACTTCCATTGCCCAGAATGGAGCCTGGCACATATAGGTACTCAATAAATAATTATGGAAATAATTAATCTTTGTGTATTTAGTATTTTTCTTCCTCAGATTGGGACTACTGAGCTCCAAAACAGTGAATTTTTTTTGAGACAGGGTCTCATTCTGTCACCCAGGCTAGAGTGCAGTGGCACGATCATGGCTCACTGCAGCCTCAACCTCCTGGGCTCAGGTGATTCTCCCATGTCAGCCTCCTGAGTAGCAGGGACTACAGGTGTGCACCACCATGCCTGGATAATTTTTGATTTTTTTTTTTTTTTTTTTTGGTAGAGACAGCGTTTTGGAACCATGTTGGTCAGGTTAGTCTCAAACTCCTGAGCTCAAGCGATCTGCCCTCCTCAGCCTCCCAAAGTGCTAGGATTACAGGTGTGAGCCATTGTGCCCAGCCAGCAGTGGATGTGTTTTATAGTTCTTTATACCTTTGTATGTAACTTTTTAGTTTTAATTCTTATTTATTTGTACCAGGTAATACTTTTCCTATGGTTGAAAATTCAAATGGCTTAAAAGGGTTGTGTACAAAAGTATTCCTTCCACTGTCATATTCAAACACCCCATTCCTCTCCTCAGAAGCAGCTAGCTGTGTCAGGCTATTTACTCTCCTTTCAGGGATATTCCCATATAACTTCCTGAAAAGTTGATACCAAGTTATACTATAGGACAAAGTCTTTTTACAATTATATCTGTCCAGAATAGTTTCTTGTTTTGTGTTTTGTTTTTTTTTTCTATGTACTGTTCAACCCTCCTTGGATACCAGCATCAACCATTGTTTAGAGAATGTTACTATCATACAAGCCATCAAGGGAGTGCTATAATGAAACACTGTTTTGCCCATGCCCTTGAAGTTCAAAATCTAGGTGGGATGAGAAAGTATCTACACTTAATAAGTAACAGAGGTTTTAAAAAGATCAAATAAACTATGAAATGTCACAAAACATTGAATAATTCATTGTTGAAAGAGATATAGGTAACCATGAAAGTTTATCAAAGCAGAGAGTGAGTATCATTTATCAGGGAATGTTTCACAGAAAGAGAAGACTATGATGGCTTTGGATAGTCTGAAAAGAATGTAGAAGGAAAGAAGTATATTTTACCTTCTGTGTGTTCACCAACGTGTGATATTGAGCAATATGATCCTACAAGAATATATTTTTTATGCCATAGGATTTGATAGGCGTATAACAAAGCCTTTGTCTTATAGAACAGAGACTATATATATATTTATAACAGAGTTGGAAGAAATACTATAAAGAGTTATTAGGTTCAATGAGGGTTCAGAAAGCAATCATAGGCAGTTGGGAAAACAAAATTTTTTTTAGGGAAAGTCATGTTCAAAATGGAGCTTAAGGTGGGGCACAGTGGCTCATGCCTGTAATCCCAGCCCTTTGGGAGGCTGAGGCAGGCAGATGGCTTGATCCCAGGAGTTCAAGGCCAGCCTGGACAACATGGCGAAACCCCATCCACACACAAAGAAATGCAAAAATTAGCTGGATGTGGGTGGTGCACACCTGTAGTGCTAGCTCCTTGGGAGGCTGAAGTGGGAGAATCATCTGAGCCCAGGAGGTGAAGGCTGTAGTGAGCCATGATTGTGCTATTGCTCTCTAACCTCAGTGACACCATGAAATGCTGTCTTAATAAAAAAAAGATGAAGCTTGAAAGAAGACTCAGGATTTTTAATGGGCACAAATGGAAGGATAACATGGTGGCAGGGAACTACTGCCAACCAACTGTTTTTGTGAATAAAGTTTTAGTGGCACACAGCCATGCCCATTCATATATATTATCTGTGCCTGCTTTCATGCTACAGTGTCAGAGTTGAAACATTGAGGCAGACTATATGGCCTGCAAAGCCTAAAATACTATCTGGCCCTTTACAGGAAGTTTGCTGAGCCCTGCAAGTAGATAGGATGTAAGTAAAGCATTACTAATAAATATTGAAGAAAGGAAAATGAGATATTTATTAGAATTGGGGAGGTTCAGTAATAGAAGGGTGATTGGTTGAAGAGGAGGTTAGTTTTGAAGGAATATGATAGGGAGACCATTATAATAGAGAGGAAGTGAGGGGCCATTCCAGGCTGGACAGTAGTAGTTCAGTAAGGCACAGAGGTGGCTTACTCTTAATCATGCTTTTCTAATCTTTTCCCTGCTAGCCAAGAAGGATCAAGAAGGTGGAGAAGAAAAGAAATCTGTGCAAAAGAAAAAAGTAAAAGAGTTAAAGGTGTTGGATTCAAAGACCGCCCAGAATCTCTGTGAGTATCTCTTGATCCCAACTATTTGAAATGTGAAAGAGTTCTTTTAAGAACTTTCGGTTCCCTTGAATCTGTGGTCCCCTGATGTGGAACTTTAATTTGTTGAATTCCTGCTGTATGCCAAGCATTGCACAGAGAATATTCAGTATCTTATTTAATTTCTTCAGTAGCACTGCAAGATTTTTAAGTATCCAGTTTTATGTCAAGGAAACAAGCTAAGATTTTTAGGAATTTGCGTAGTCATAAAGCTAGTAAGAAGGAGGTCTGGGATTTGAGCCTTTTTTTTTTTTCCACTCTGTTGTTGCCCATGCTTGAATGCAGTAGTGCAATCACAGCTCATTGCCACCTTGGCTTCCAGTGCTCAGCTGATTCTTCCACCCCAACCTCCCAAGTAGCTGGGACTACAGGTATGCACCACCACACCCAGCTAATTTTTTGTAGAGATGGGCTTTTGCCATGTTACTCAGGCTGGTCTCAAACTCCTGAGCTCAGGTAATTTGTCTAGCCGAGCCTCTGACTTTCTTATTTCAAAGTCTTTAGTATGTCCATTGCATTCATAGGAAGTCTGCCACAGATGGTCTAGCCACTGTACATTTTCTCTTTCCCACTTTTGCTTTTTTATGAAATAAATAGAGAAGGTGTCTTGCCATGTTGCCCAGGCTGGTCTTGAATTCCTGGCCTCAAGTGCTCTCACCTCAGCCTCCTAATATGTTGGGATTACAGATGTAAGCCACCATGCCCAGCTTTCACTTTCTGATAAGTAAAGGTACTAGCTTGGCTTCGAATAAATCTAAAATTACTTTGTAATTTAAAATTACTAAGGTAAATCTTGTACTTCTCAGAGTAGGATCTGCAACTCCAGAGAGGAGTTCTGTTCTGAACTTTCCACCTATATTCATAACTGTTTGGTAGCAAAATTTCAAGTAAGAAATTCCTCAGCAAAGTTGTTACAGGCAGTACTTATTTGATGATCAGGACAAATGTTAAATTTTTGTTAATTTCAATTATTCATCTGCCTACTTCATACTGAGTAATATAGCCTTAAATATTTATTTGACAACTATTTTAGGGTCTGCTATGTTATAGGCTCTATTAGGCACATACTAGGTATGTGTTCCAGAGACGAAAGGGTATGTTCCATAAAACCTACTCACCGTCTTGTAATACAGTTCTTGTCCGTTTTTCCAAATGAGAAAACCAAAGTCGAAATGATGTGAAGTGCCCGGATCACACAGCCAATAAGTACACATACCCATAAGTAAAGTCCGTGATATAATGAGAGCAGTAAGCTGTCACACACTCTTGACTATATAATCTTAAATTATTGTCCACAACTATTACTAAATAGTATCTGTGGTGAAGTCCTTTTATGGAGACTAAAGTAGTGTGAGTCAGTTCCTCTTCCCAAGTGTATCTGTAGGAGCATAAGTTATGAATAATTGTTGTTTTAAAAAATGATACAAGGAAAACTATGGTGTAGGACATTATGATTTCTAGTGGAATGATATTGATATGGAAAACAGAATTCAAGAAAAGAAAACAGAAAGTAGTGTAGGGTAGGATGGTCTGGAAGTGGAATTTAGTGATTCAATGATGATTAAATGTCTCGCATGTGCTAATGATACAAAGCTGAATAAGACATAGTCCCTATTTGCATGAACCGTGTGCCTGGTAAAGACAGAAAGGCAGATGATAACAGCACAGATTGATAAATGCTATGATGGAGGTTTGCTAGAATGTTTATGAGAGTACTGGGAAAGGAGGCATCTAAATCAAGTGGGGGCAGTGTTGGAAGGGCAAATCCCTGAAGATATTCTGAAGAAGGTACTACTAAAAGTGAGTTGAAAGAACAATTAAGGATTTAAGGAGTCTGGGCTTGGTGGCTCATTCCTGTAATCCCAGCACTTTGGGAAGCTGAGGTGGATGATTGACGCCAAGAGGTCAAGAACAGCCTGGGCAACAAAGCAAGGCAACAAAGCAAGACCCCTTCTCTACAAAACATAAAAAAATATTAGCTGAGCCCAGTGGCATGTGCCAGCAGTCCCAACTACTCAAGAGCTGAGGCAGAAGGATCACTTAAGCCCAGGAATTTGAGGTTGTAGTAACCTGTGATTGTGCCACTGCACTGCAGCCTGGGCAACAGAGTAAGACCCTGTCTCAGAAAAAAGAATTAAGTGAAGGCGGGAGGGTTGGCTTGTTTCAGGAGAGGGATCAGCATGTATGAGAGCATGAGATAACATTGTGCACCTCAGGAACTGCAAGTTGTCGAATACAACTGAGTATACCTATGGAAGTTAAAAAGGGAATTTTAATCGGGAAAGTGAGTGAGATTATCCTGCGTAATTTTTAGGAAGGCAGCTGTGGCAGTGATTTTGAGGCTGGATTGCTAAAGTCAGGGGACACTAGAGGCAGAGGTGAGTTATGTCAGTGGTGAGACGTGATCAGGGACTGAAACTCAGTTGATGAGAATAAGAGAGGCAGAGGATATTAAGAAGGTGGAATTAAGCTAGGTACAATGGCTCATGCCTGTAATCCCAGCACTTGGGGAGACCGAGGCAGGTGGATCAGTTGAGGTCAGGAGTTCAAGACCAGCCTGGTCAACATGGTAAAACCCTGTCTCTACTAAAAATAGAAAAATTAGCTGGACGTGATAGAGCATGCCTATAATCCCAGCTACTCATGGGGCTGAGGCAGGAGAATCACTTGAACCTGGTAGGTGGAGGTTGCAGTGAGCCAAGATTGTGCCACTGCACTCCAGCCTGGGCAACAGAGGGAGACTCTGTCTCAAAAAAAAAAAAAAAAAAAAAAAAAAAAGCCAGATGTGGTGGCACATGCCTATAGTAGTCCCAGCCACTTGGGAGGCTGAGGTGGGAGGAGGATTGCTTGAACCTGGGAGGTCCAGGCTGTAGTGAACTATGATTGTACTACCACACTCTAGCCTGGGCAATAGAATGAGAAAAGGTAGAATTAATGGAGTTTAGTGATTGACTTGGGATAAAGGAGAAGGTGTTTTGAAGTTTAGGTCACTCTGCAGAAAGTGGTACCGTTTACCGAAATAGGAAAATTCAGCAAGAACAGATTGTCTTTTTGGGGAGGTAGATGTGAGTGAGAGGTAGCAGGATCGTATCTTACCTGAAGTATACACTTTTTAAGAGGCTGCCGTCTTTTCATTGACTTTGTGGCAATGGAATAAATCAGTCGTGTAAATGAGAGATAATAGGCTATTTTAGATTGCTATAAAGTGAAAGAAAGAGAAATGGGTAATTTAGAGAGGAACATGGAACATAGAGTAAGATAGGAAAACCTTGTTTATGCACATATGCTGAAGGGAAAGGTGTGTGGAGCTGCCTCTTCTGTTGACACATGAGGAAAGGATGAGTACATCAGGGTATATATACTTATACACAAATCCCTATATGAGCATATGCACCAATTAGCTTACAAAAGTGTTGGCATAGTTTTCTTCCAAGCCATTCCAAGAGGCTTATCCAAGTCTTTTCTAGTCTGATTCTAACCGAGAGCCCTAGTGCTTTATTTTTAAGTAGGATAAGAGAAAGCTGAGCAAGTAATTTGACCAGTGGCTTCAATTTTTCTCAGTGAAGAGGAGCAGAGTCTTCTTGGAACAAACGGGGAGGTGGTGGGGCAGTAGGGAAAATGGGAATATGTTGGAGGACCTGCCAAGAAGGGTAAGAGAAAGTGCAATAGAGCCACATGGAAGAGAATTGCTAACAGTGCTGAGGCCCCAGTTATCATTGGTGCAACTGCAAATTCATAGACTCCAGTCTATATCAGCCCAGGTGTCAGAGTAGGGAAATGAAATGGCTAGACTGACCAGGGACTGGAAGGTGAAGGAAGCAAAAGAACGGTAATAGTGGTAGTAGTAGTAATACTAATGGGAATCTTAGTAGAGAGCAAATGAAGTGATGGTATAGAGGGTCCTGATGAAATAGGAAAGGCAGAGTACAACTGATGTATTCACAGAAAACAGAACAGTCAGGAGAGTGGAAAGAGACGTCCTAATAGGGTTGAAGAGTAAAGCGAGAGATTAGAAAGGGAGAGCTGAGGGCTGGGCACAGTGGCTCGTGCCTGTAATCCCAGCACTTTTGGGAGGCCAAGACAGGTGGATCTCTTGAGGTCAGGAGTTCGAGACCAGCCTGGCCAACAGGGTGAAATCCCATCTCTACTAAAAATACAAAAAGTAGCCAGGCATGGTGGCACACACCTGTAATCCCAGCTACTTGGGAGGCTGAGGCAGGAGAATCACTTGAACTTGGGAGGTGGAGGTTGCAGTGAGCCAATATCATGCCACTGCTCTCCAACCTGGATGACACGAGACTGTCTCAAAAGAAAAAGGGTGGGGCAGGGGGAGCTGAAAAAATAGGAAGTGTTTATTAGGGGATAGGATATGGCAGTTTAAGGTCAAGGCAGCTTTGAGGGTCAAGTCCTGAGACTGGGGAACTAAAGTAGAGTGGGGTGAAAGTCTTTGATGTATGTCGACTTTTTGAGGTGGATCTCACTTGTTGCTCAGGCTGGTGTGCAGTGATGCAATCACAGCTCACTGCAACCTTGACCTCCTGGGCTCAGGTAATCCTCCCATGTCAGCCTGCCTAACAGCTGGGACTACAGGTGCACATTACCATGCCTGGCTAGTTTTTGTATTTTTTTTTTGTAGAGATGGAGTTTCACCATGTTGCCTAGGCTAGTCACAAACTCCAGAGCTCAAGTGATCCAGCCAACTTGGCCTCCCAAAGTGCTAGGATTATGGGCATGAACCACTGTGCCTGGTCTAAAGGAGCCCTGTTAGGAAGATTATCCAGCATAGGTTTGCAGGATGGGTTGGAAACGGGAACAGACCGAGAAGAACATGTCTTACTATTTCATTTTCTGGCAGCAATCTTTTTGGGTTCCTTCCGCATGGCCTATCAAGAGATTAAGAATGTCATCCTGGAGGTGAATGAGGCTGTTCTGACTGAGTCTATGATCCAGGTAAGGAGCAAGGTGGTTCTGCTGGAGCGGGTTCTTCTGTGTAGCTGTGCACTGGCCTCATCTCTGTGGAGATGAAGAGGATCCTCCTCTAGCATTGCTCACTTATCAATGCTGTCTTTTAGAAACTGCCTTTTCTCTGGTGGTCAGGCTATTTCTGGCATATTTTGCAAAAGTCCTACCATTTCAGTGCTGCCTCTCCTCTCCCACCATGTTTCCTTTGTAATGGTCCTCGGGCAGTGTGTGGGACTGACAACAGAGTAAAAATTTTGTTTAGCGTTGAGTTGTTAGCAAATCCCTCTCCAACTGAGATGTCTCTTCTCTCTTTCAGAACCTCATTAAGCAAATGCCAGAGCCAGAGCAATTAAAAATGCTTTCTGAACTGAAGGATGAATATGATGACCTGGCTGAGTCAGAGCAGTTTGGTGTAGTGGTGAGTGAGGCCCTTCTCTGCCTCCCGTATTTCCCTCCCCTCTAGAGAGCAGCCTGGGCATTTGCTCCTTGCCTCTTGCCTGTTTTTGAACCTGTCTTAGTCTCTCTCTTCTCCCTGCTCTGGAGCTCTGATCCTCCCATAGGAAGCTCAAGCCTGTATCTTTTTCTTACTTCTCTGTGTTTTGACTGTAATGGAACTGCTTGTATTCTCTACTAGATGGGCACTGTGCCCCGACTGCGGCCTCGCCTCAATGCCATTCTCTTCAAGCTACAATTCAGCGAGCAAGTGGAGAACATCAAGCCAGAGATTGTGTCTGTCACTGCTGCATGTGAGGAGTTACGCAAGAGTGAGAGCTTTTCCAGTCTCCTCGAGATTACCTTGCTTGTTGGAAACTATATGAATGCTGGCTCCAGAAATGCTGGAGCTTTTGGCTTCAATATCAGCTTCCTCTGTAAGGTGAGCTAGAGTAGGACAACACAAAGGAGGCTACAGCCTCCAGGAGTTCAGTGTTGGCAGGAGGCCATCTTAGACATGTCAGGATTTAACAGTTTCTCCTCTTGCTCTAAGCTTCGAGACACCAAGTCCACAGATCAGAAGATGACGTTGTTACACTTCTTGGCTGAGTTGTGTGAGAATGACTATCCTGATGTCCTCAAGTTTCCAGACGAACTTGCCCATGTGGAGAAAGCCAGCCGAGGTGGGGCAGTTGGGGATGAAGTTAGAAGGTGGTTCTAAGCCCAAAAATCTTTGCATGGGGAGGGAAATAAGACACAGTCTAGATTTTAGAGCATTTTCAGTTCAGACTATTTCAAGTGGTTATGGGATAGGATTTAGGCATGGTGCCTAAGCCACAAGGCAGGAGTATAGGGCTGAGGAGACATCTTTATGTGTAGAAATGGGAAGCACACTTTCTCTTCCTAGGGGAACACCAAACACCAAAGCACAGCTAGAAGAGCAGGTGTTTTTAGTCTAGGTTAACAGTTCTCCTCTTTAAGAAAACAGACTAGATTAACAAAAATTAGACCTCACTGTCCTGGAACTAGACAAAGAAAAAGCAGCATTCATTGGAAATCAGAACAGATTTCTGCCCTGCCTCTATATTTCTATGTAAATCTCCTCCCTCCCAAACCCCGTTCTGTAAAATAAATCAGACCAAGATCTCAGGGGGTTTCATAGATTTGTGTTAAATTAAATGAAACCTCTCTTCTGTTCCTAGTTCTGCATACCTTGTGAAGGCTGGAGGTTCAATGATCAGATAATTTATAGTCTCACTGGAAAGGTGAAAACTTATGTGATACAACTAAAGTACATAGGAATTAAAATTAAGTTCCTAAATGTGTGTATAGACTGAAGCTGTGCTCCAAAGGGTGAAACTAAGGGGTATTGAGGGTGGAATTATTAGTAAGCTCTTGCTCTCTGCTTTTGTGGTTGTTTTTTTTTTTGTTGTTGTTGTTGTTTTTTAAGTCTCTGCTGAAAACTTGCAAAAGAACCTAGATCAGATGAAGAAACAGATTTCTGATGTCGAACGTGATGTTCAGAATTTCCCAGCTGCCACAGATGAAAAAGACAAGTTTGTTGAAAAAATGACCATATCCTCTCTTGAAAGGAGGGAGTTATTCCCTAGGAAAGGAAGAAAACTTCCTGTAATGGGGAGAAAACAGGATAGATAGGGCAATATACAACTTTTTCTCTCTTAAAAAACTCTTTTTCATTAAATACATAGTATTTTGGATTTGTAAGTATTTTGAAACAGGCTTTCACTGTGCCATCCAGGCTAGAGTGCAGTGGTGCCATCATGGCTTACTGCATCCTTGACCTCCCAGGCTCAAACGATCCTTCCCCCACCAGCCTCCTTGGCAGCTGGGACTACAGGCATGTGCCACCAGGCCCAGTTCAACTTTTTTTTTACATTTTTTTCTTTAGAGATGGGGTCTCACTTTTGTTGTCCAGGCTGTATAGTTCTTAGAGCATTCCATTATTGTGGAGTGGAAGCAAACCATGCAGATCAACTGAAAGTCTCCCCGATTCCCCTGCCTATACCTCATCTCTGCTGCACACAGTGCCTCCCTCTCCTTCCCTCCCCAAAGGTAACCGCCACCACTGGACTTCATTCTGATTTGTACCTCATACATTTATTTTCAACAAAAACTGCATTGTATTGCTTTTTGCACATAATACATCTTGGCCATGTTTCCGTAGTAGTAGTATTTATAGAACCCTTTTAAACTGCAGCCTTCTGTTTTATAGGTGTACCACAGTTCATGGTTTACTATTCCCCTAGGGTACCTACCTGGCTTTGTTTTTTGCTGTTATAAACAGTGCTATATTGAACATCCCCATGCATGCCAGTACTCATCTTTGAGTAATTCCTTGGGCTAGAGAAGTGGGTCTGCTTCTTGGTCTTGGTCCTTTACTCCTTGTCTGCACAGCTTTGTGAAGGATGCCCAGGAACAGTATAACAAGCTGCGGATGATGCATTCTAACATGGAGAGCCTCTATAAGGAGCTGGGCGAGTACTTCCTCTTTGACCCAAAGAAGTTATCTATTGAAGAATTTTTCATGGATCTTCACAATTTTCGTAATATGTTTTTGGTGAGCAAGGGACACTTGCTGACTGAATCTTTGGTGGGCATTTCTCACTGTCCACTGGGTTCCTGTTAGCTGTTGGTAGGTGTACAATGCCCATGTGTTCCTTCCTCCCCTTCCCTGCCCCAGCAAGCAATCAAGGAGAACCAGAAGCGGCGGGAGACAGAAGAAAAGATGAAGCGAGCAAAACTAGCCAAGGAGAAAGCAGAGAAGGAGCGGCTAGAGAAGCAGCAGAAGAGAGAGCAGCTCATAGACATGAATGCAGGTGAGGAGTGAAGAAGGGTTGATGGGTTGAGACAGGAACATTTGGAAGACTTCTCTGCCTAGAGTCTAGAGGCCAGAGAGAATAGCTCATGCCCGAACTCACCTCCTGGCAAATGATTTTTGACCATCTTCTACCTCCAAGATCCTGATGCTGGACTTTAACCCAATTCAGATATACACATTCCAACTTGCCCTGCTAAAATCCTTCTCTCTCCTTTGCTGGCTCTTGCATTCTGTCTCATCTCTCCTGTGATTTTAGTATTGCTGTGATACATACTCTTTTCCTTCTGCCTGTCCCAAGTTAGCTCTGGCCTGTTTTCATTCCCTCCACTAAATCTTTTGGGTTTCTTTCTCTAAAATATTTTCCTGACACGCCTCCTATCTTTTAATTATGGTGTGTTTCTGCTATGGCACAAAGTACTATGTCCCTAGTACCTTACTCCAGTTGTATACACAATTAGATTGTAAATGGATTGAACTTTTGGAGGGGGATGGGGAGCCGGCTACCCTCTTCTCTTTCTTCAGCAGAATCTCTATTTCACTACTAGAGCATGTCTTTGTTGAAACATATGGTTTCAATTACTGGCCCTCTATTTCCTGTCTCTGCTTCTTTCCTGCTGCCGATTCCCTACCCCTTCGCCCCCACTACTCTCTCTGTGGGCAGCGGAAATACAGCATATGCTGCTCACACAGCACTGAACTGATGCCACCCTCCTCCGAACCTGAGGGGCCACGAGTCTTCTGCAAATGGTGTTCACAGAGCTGCTGAGTTTGTTAGGAATCAGTATTTTACAAAGCAGAGGCACAAGGGCTGCTCTGGTACCTCTTGCTACCAGGAAGTTTTCTTTATATTTTTCTGGAAAGCAGTATCCTTGTCCTTATCCCAGTTGTAAGCCACAACTTTGTAATGCTATTAAAGCTTATACCAGATATTTTTCACCTTCTCCTGGGACTCCAGCATTTGTACCCGGGTACTGGCTAGGCTTTAATGGGGGAAGGTGGAATCCTGTTGACATGTGCAATGAAGGCTGCACCCGGCCAACAGGTGGCGTAATGGACCGTGCCGAGTTTACAGTACCCAGGTCAAGAAAATGAAGGTAGAATGTAGGTCAAATGCAATGGTGATGCTCAGCCAGCAAGTGGCGCTGGGAGCAGTGAGCCCCAGCCTTGAAGCTGGCAGCCTATCAGCTTTTTGGGATTTCACAGTTTCAGATTTCACTATCCTAAGCTGTTGCCATGGAAACTGAGCCAGGCTAGAAGAAGGATTCTACATTAACTCTTTGTATTCCAGCCAGGCTGCTCCTCTTAGATGCAGAGGACTTAGACATTCAGGAAGACATAGCCACAGGAGGCAGTACTTCGAGAAAGTGCCCTCTTGATCATTGGTCTTTCCTCAGCCCTGCTCTGAAGCCTAACCAGTCTTCATAACTGGTCTTGGAGTTGGACAGTTCTGTAATTCTGTTGCTAGATACTTTTCTGCAATTAGGGATGGGGTGGGGAGGATGGCATTGCAGAAAAATATTCCAAGGTTTGCACTGGATAATAGGCAATAAGATCTTTTGTTTTAACCATTTGTAAGCAGGTACAAGGAAACATGGGCTTGTGAGACTTAAGGTTAAGTTTTCTTTGTCTCTTCTTAGCTGCCAGCTGCTATGCAAGAAGGGAAACAAAGCAATAGCAATGCATTTAGTGTGAGGCTTGATGTTTGCCATGCTGCTCTGGCTGAAGAGTTCACATCTCCATCTTGTTCTTTATAACAGAGGGCGATGAGACAGGTGTAATGGACAGTCTTCTAGAAGCCCTGCAGTCAGGGGCAGCATTCCGACGGAAGAGAGGACCCCGTCAAGGTAAGTAAGCACATGGAGCTCATCCTGGGTGTCAAAGGGGGTGAGGCCTCTCTACTCCTGCCAGAAGTTTAGGAGTTTCTAAACTGCTTCACAGAAGATGATTAGAGCATCACTATTAGTCTCTGATCTGGAGCGGATTATCTAGTCCTCTTCCTCCCATGTTCAGAGTAGTGAGTTAGAAAACTGGGGTTTGAGGGACTGACAATAAATCAGTTACATTGGATTATGGCGTATTTCCCCCCACTTTTGAAGCAGATATTTGGAACAAGGGAACTGTGCTGCAGGACACAGGGATTTGAGTGGGCATTTGTGTGTATGAGCAAAAGTTGATCTAAATACAAAATGTATGTTAGGTATAGGTTGAAATTCAAAGACAAAATAAGTCAGAGTCCTTACTCTGCGCTTCACAAGCAGAAGACGTACATAGAGAAAATTAATAATAGAAAGTATAAAATTTCGTAGGGAGGTTAGGCATCATTGTTCCCAGGTAGAAAAATATAGAGGAGCATCTCACTGAAGGATTATGCTGTGTCTGAAAACTCCCTTTTTTCTTGAGTGCAGTTCTTCTGTTGCCTTTGCCTTCCCCCCTTCACTGTCCTGCAACCTCCTTTCACACGCTTTGGAAGATCTAAGTGGATTACACTGAGCTAGAGATTCTAAAAAGAATTATGGAGCTAGGACAGATGATCCAGGCATTAGTATGGGGAAAGATTAATGAATGAGTTTTCCTTGAGGGCAGCCAAGAGACTAGTTCAAAAGAAGGTGTAGCCAAGGCTGCCCCTCATGTGGAGTTGGCCTGCATCCTTATGTCTAGTGAAGGTCTTTTGGGGCTAGGAGTGGTGGCTTCTTTCCTAATTTGAAGAGTGGGAATTACAAAAAAGGCAGCATTGGCCGGGCACGGTGACCCAAGCCTGTAATCCCAGCACTTTGGGAGGCCGAGGCGGGTGGATCGATCACGAGGTCGAGAGATCGAGACCCACCTGGTCAACATGGTGAAACCCCGTCTCTACTAAAATACAAAAAAAAAAAAATTAGCTGGGCATGGTGGTGCGTGCCTGTAATCCCAGCTACTCAAGAGGCTGAGGCAGGAGAATTGCCTGAACCCAGGAGGCAGAGGTTGCGGTGAGCCGAGATCGCACCATTGCACTCCAGCCTGGGTAACAAGAGCGAAACTCCGTCTCAAAAAAAAAAAAAAAAAGGCAGCATTAAAGGTTTCTACTTCAGAGGGACTTAAATCTATGTTCCCTATTTCCTGGCTGTTGCACTATATAGGCCCATTTGATAGTGAGTTTTACTTTGAGATTATTGTAAAGAGAGGGAGTTATAGAGCTTGCTTTGGCCAGTGCTTAGCTATTAACTCAGTGGTATCTGTAGGGTGTGTAGTACCTGCCACAGCCTGGAAAGGGGGAACTTAGAGCATGTCAGCCTATATAAAGTCAGTATCCTGGCCCAACTGTTTTGATCAATGTGAGTTTCATTTGTAATGGCTGACTGCCCATTTCTACCTATACTCTGAATAACCAGAGTGATACTCCCTTCTGAAGGTTCTCCTGTAGGACTTCAGAACCTTCCCCAAACTGAAAGCTTGCAAGTCAAAATTCTTATCCATTTTCTGGCATTCTCTGAGTACAGGCTTTATAAAGGGAAGAGAAGTAGATATAAGAGCTGAGTACTCTCTGAACTAGAGCATTTAGTCTTATAGGTAGGTGTTTGCAAGGAGAGTACAGCTAGTTGTACTATTACTCCTGTATTTAGTCTTTATAGTTCTTACAGCATTGTTTCCTACCAGCCATATAAGGTGATGTGGCCTTAACACTAAGCATTTCTAGCCTTACAAAAGTACATTGTATCTCATTGTTTTTCTTGACCCCATCAACTAAGTGCTTTTATCAGACTTTTGGTGGGGAATTCCCTTTTAAGCCTCTTCCGGTGGAACTAGAATCCCAGATGCTTCCTGTATACAGATAGCCAAACATCAGTGGATTCTCTCTGCTGGGGAAGCCCCGTTCTTCACTTCTTTCCATGTGGAAAATCAGAACTCACAGGTGGAGGAGGGAGGGATTTTGTTGGAACCTAACCTTCCAGCAGAGGACTTGAATTATGAATTAGTCAAAGTACTCTTTCCCATGCAAGAGGGAATAGGAGGAGACTTATACTGGGAGATGTTGAACTGGAAAGTAGATGAAATGACAATTACATGTCTTTTAAGTGGCTCCAGCCTATAAGCTTAACTTTCTAGGCTCTGGGTTCACTAAATACACTTGAATATATCTGCAAGAATCGCAGGGGAGACATTCATACTTGTTCAGTAACTCTTTACACCTTGGTGCATTCACATCATGTAAAGTGATGTGATGTGGCCTCATACTAACATAAACAGGAGGATAGCCATCAGAGTAGATTACAAAGAACATAGGACTAGGTAGGGATCAAAAGTCACCTCTAGTTCTGATGCTGTCTGTGTTAGCCTAAGCAAGTCACTTAATGTTTCTTGGACTCAGTTCTTCAGGTATAAAATGAGTGCTGGACTAGAATGAATGGTCTCCAGGGTCCCTTCCAGCTCTAATATTTTTTTATGCAGTGACAATACGATTAAGAGGAGAAGAGGAGAGAGAGGCTGGGCTTAGATGGCCCCATTCTCTAACTACAAAGGCCCCAGTGGCTCTAGGTTTCTCTCTGTGGCTACTGGATTTGGCTGTTCCACCCCTTGCCTGGCTGTCTCTGACTATTCCTCCTGACTGATTGCTTTGAGCCAAAAAAACAGAGGCACTGTCAAGCATATCTGCCTCACAGCCCTCATTATTTCCAGAGAGGCAGCTGTCCCTATTCAAAGACACTAGCTTTTTACCTAGAATGTAAAGGAATGTTGAAATCTTCCGGTCTCTGGAGATCTCAGGGAGTGACCAGTATACAAAGACTCATTGAGGAGTTGGAAGAGGGGAGTTACTATCAGGGTCAGTTCATTAAAAGCAACATGTAAACTGCTGTGATCTGCAGGGTGTGGGAGAACAATGGTTTGAGTGTCAAGGGGAAGAATCCATGTGATTGTATTACGGCTACTATTTCAGGCCCATGATTGAGTCAGCTTGTGGTTTTAATGACTCAACTTTATCTCCATGTCTGAATTGTGGCCTCTTGTATACAAGCCATTTGCTCGCTCACTGGGATAAAAGCCAAGGGAAAAAAGAAATTCATCTCTTTCTTCCTTTCCTTCCCTCTACCATTTCCCAGCTTCCCTATAAGCTCCATCCATCTAATAGAACCAGTGTTGAAAAGACTCTAAAGACTTCTAGTGATTAGTATCTAACCTGCTCATAGGGGAAAGGAATTAAAACCAGATAAGGTCTTGCCCAGGTCTCCATGGCTGTCTAATGACAGAGCACTGTAGCCCACTTTTGTGACTCCCAGTCCAGGGCTATTTCCACTCAGCCTGCATGACTGGAGAGGAGATGGCAGTGACCCCTCAGTTATGGGCCAGAAATATTCTTTCATACAAGGAGCATCTTGGACATGATGACATTGCTTCAGGGAGGTTCTCTGATGACCACTCGTGTTAGTCTATTTTGTGTTATAAAAGAAATATCTCAGACTGGGTAATTTATAAAGAAAAGGGGCTTATTTGGCTGACGATTCTGCAGACTGTACAGAAAGCATGGTGCCAGCATCTGATGGTGAGGCCTCAAGAAGCTTCCAATCATGGATCCACCCAAATAGGGAACAGGTGTATCGCAGGGCAGGAGAGAGAGAAAGAGATGCCAGGCTCTTTTAAACATTCAGTGCTTATATGAGCTCATTACTGCGGGGGCACCAAGCCACTTATGAGGGATGCACCCCATGCCCAAGCACCTCCCGCTTGGCCCCACCTCCAACATTGTAGGTCACATTTCAACATGAGGTCTGGAAGGGTCATACATCCAAACCATATCACCTCCTATCTTGAGAAGGTTGCTAAGAATATTTCCTGTACCACTACTTATTCTGCTCCCACTTTTGTAAAAATAGGACAGGACGCATAATTAGGAGAGTTTGAGACAATAATGAGTGATTTAATGTGGCAATGATTGCTCCATCTGTCCTAGTTTCCTCTTCCCTAAGGAAGCTTATTAATGAGAACACTTCCTCTTTAGTAATGGTTCCTAGCCTATGTTTTATAAAGGTCTTTTTTCAAGTTACTAACCTTTTTAAAATTCAGCTGCACTTACGTTATATGGTTGATTTTGCTGGTGTTTTTATCATAGCCCACCCCTAACTTCTAGGAATCTGGCCTGAGAGCTTTCAAACCAGTATCTCAAGATTGTTCCCTTTTCCCCTACGGCCTGTGGGACTATTTTGTTGGAGTTAATTATCCTCTCTGATCGCTTCTAGTCAAAATATTTATCTGGTTCTATGGCTACTTTTCAATAGTCTTAACAAGTGAGTAAGCTGGGGGAAGGGCAGAGGTGAGTTTTTCTTCATTTTTCAACCTGCTGAGCATAATGGTGACCGAGTAGAAAGCTGGGAGACCTGTTCCAACAGGAGCTTTCTCATCCTGACAGGCCACATCATATCCTCCCTGGCGTACAGGCTTTCAAGGCTTACAAGAGAAATTTTGATCTTCTCCCTACCTACTCTCTGCTCCTGGTTCTATGAAGTTTGTAATACCTCAGAAGTTTTTTGAGCACAGAAAAGTCTAGAAACACCACTTGGTAAAGCTGGGTGTGGTGGCTCACAACTGTAATCCCAGCACTTTAGGAGGCTGAGGCAGGCGGATCACAAGGTCAGGAGTTTGAGACTAGCCTGGCCAACATGGTGAAACCCCATCTCTACTAAAAATGCAAAACTTAGCCGGGCATGGTGGTACATGCCTGTAATCCCAGCTACTCAGGAGGCTGGGGCAGGAGAATCACTTGAACCCGGGACTTGGAGGTTGCAGTGAGCCAACTTCACGCCACTGCTCTCCAACCTGGTGACAGAACGAGACTGAGTCTCAAAAAAACAAAAAGAAAAAAAAGAAACACCACTTGGTTAGGTACAACTGGTATCTTCTTATTTTTGGGGAAGAAGCCACAGAAAGAAGCAGCTTAAGACCTGCCACACAGGAACTCTGCTTTCTCCTGTGTTGCTCAGGACAAGTGGCCCAGTGTGTTCCTTTTCCCAAGGTCTGGAGTCAGGAGTTATTTCAACACATGTGCACCACTAGAGTCACACACACAGAGTTGCGGTGTCTTCTCAACTGCTGGAGACTGAATTCAAAGGAATAATAAAATGATACAAAACTACTACCCTTCTGGACATGAGAAATGGGGTCTAGAGTGGGAGTACTTCAGAAGAGAGTGGGAGCATTTGCAGGAGGCCTGAGGAAGATTCTGGTGGTAAGGACAGTATGAGAAATGTATACATTTAGACCATCATAGTCACACTCACGTGGTCTTCTTTTCCTCTCTTGTCAGTACAGAGGCAGTAGTTATCTTCATAATCCAATAAGTGGTTTTGTAAAATTCCCACAGTCTTGGTCACATACCTTTGATCTATAATTAGATAAGCCCTCTGGCTGTCAATCAGGGTCTTCACTATTCTTTCTCCTCTTAGTAGACAACTTCTTGTGCCCCTGGGAAATGGAGGAGGAGGAGGAGGAGGAGGAGGAGGGGGGGGAGGGGAAGGAAGAGGAGGGAGGAGGAGGAGAAGGGGGGAGGAGGGGGAGGAAGAGGAGGGGGGAGGAGGAGGGGCGGGGGACGACCTTTAAATTGGTAACCTGTGTGCACGCTGTGTGTTCCCTGCTTTAGCGATGGGCACCCTCTCCTGGGATGAAAACAGTAGCTCTGGGTCATGACTCCGCAGGGAAAGAAGGCCTGGTTAAGACTTGGGCTTTGGTGGGGCGTAGTAGCCCCACCAAAAAAAAGTTACATGTAAATCCCAGAACTTTAGGAGGCCAAGGTGGGGGGAATGCTTGAGCCCAGGAGTTCAAAACCAGCCTGAGCAACATGGAGAGACCCCATCTCTGCAAAAAATACAAAAATAGCCAGATGTGGTGGTGCATGCTTGTAGTCCCAGCTACTCGAGAGGCTAAGGTTTGGTGGATTACTTGAGCCCAGGAGGTCAAGGCTACAGTGAGCTGTGATTGTGCTGCTGTACTCCAACCTGGGCGACAGAGTGAGATTCCATCTCAAAAAAAAAAAAAAAAAGCCAGGTGCAGTGGCTTACACCTGTAATCCCAGCACTTTGGGAAGCTGAGGCAGGTTGATCACCTGAGGTCAGGAGTTTGAGACCAGTCTGGCCAACAGAGTGAAACCTGTCTTTACTAAAAACACAAAAAAATTTGCTGGGCATGGTGGTATGTGCCTGTAATCCCAGATACTTGGGAGGCTGAGGCAGGAGAATCGCTTGAGCCTGGGAGGTGGAGGTTACAGTGAGCAGAGATTGTACCATTGCACTCCAGTCTGGGCAACAGAGCGAGATTCTGTTTCAAAAAAAAAAAAAAAAAGCAGGTGGGGTAGGGGGGCTGTCTGATCCCGTTTGGCTTCTGCCTACCTAAGGCTTTCTGCTGGTCCAACGAAGGCGCTTTGTTCCAGTTGTACAGCTGCCCCAGTCTTGGTCTTCATTTATGAGTGCTCAGCTCTTTTATCTGGTCCTGCTTCTTTAAGGTTCTGGTACTGCTTTCTCCACCTCAGCTTTCCCAGATCTCCAGGAAATCTTTTTTTTTTTTTTTTTTAAATTGAGATACCATTTACATGCCTAAAATTCACCATATTAAAATGTACAATTCAGGGGTTTTTACATTATGCACAAGATCATATAACCATTGCTGCTATCTAATTCCAGAACATTTTCATCATCCCCATAAGAAAAACACCATAATACCCATTAGCAGTCACTTCTGATTCTCTCCTCCCCTTGCCTCTGGCAACCAGCAATCTGTTTTCTATCTCTGGATTTGCCTGTGCTGGACATTTCATAGAAGCTGACCCATAACATATGGCCTTTCGTGTCTGGCTTCTTTCATCCCAGACAGTTCTTTGTGTATACACAGTCGCTCCTATGCTGTTCTGGGACATGGGAGGAGGAGACATCATGAGATGGCATGGTCCCAAGGAGCTGCCTTCCTGCTGCAGATACTGGGGCCATAAGCCTGGATGCCATAAATGAATATGAGAATCTTGGGGATGAAACCCAGCAGTTAGAACAGAGACTCATGGATTGATTTGCTTCTTCTTTTCCAATCTGGGATGACAGCCAGAACGTGACCATCCCGTAGCCACATGGGCTGCGATTTCTTTGTAGGGGTCCTCTCCTGGCCATCCTTGATTCCAGTTCTCCTTCCCTGACATAGCTTTTATTACTACTTCCCCCCGTCCCCCCCGCCACATATTCTGCACGCCTTGTAGGGCCCTTGGCATTTGTATCACAGCTGCTACCTTGAAAGAAGTGGGAAAGAGCTAAGGTGTGTGGGCATCTGTTGTTGGAGGAACACGTGGGAGTGCGATGCCAGTACCTGGCTGCTGTTCCTCTTTGCCGGGGTCCCTCCAGCCACCTACTGAAGTCTGCCTTTTGCTAGGGACAGCCCTCCCAGGGCTGACCGAAAAGTGTTTTGGTCTAGAAGTTTCCTGGGATCTGTCAAGCAAAAATAATACTGTGTACTAAGCTCAAGCCTATTTAATTCCAGCATCCCTATGAGGAGAAAAGACTTGGAGTACTTCATCTCTCCCTAAGTCACGTGGCTAACACTTCAACCCAGTTCTGTCTGTCTAGGTGTGTTCAAATTTTTGTGCTGTTTGCACAGAGAAGCAAGGGGGCGAGGCTTGCTCTCCTGTTGCACCACCCAAAAGTATATTCCACATGCTGGATCTCTGCCCCTCTTTCTTCAAAGTAAAGGCCTCTGTGAACTGGGCAAGGTAGCCACATCTGCATGGCTTACAGCTGATTATCTTCTGTAGAATTTGAAAGAAATTAGAAACGAGGCCTTCCATGTACAGAGTCTCTCATGTCTTCTCCTGCAGCCAACAGGAAGGCCGGGTGTGCAGTCACATCTCTGCTAGCTTCGGAGCTGACCAAGGACGATGCCATGACCACTGCTCCTGCCAAGGTGCCCAAGATGAATGAGGCCGTCCCCACAATCCTTGAGGAATCCATGGAGTTGGTTGGCCGTGCAAGCTAATATGAGTCTGTGACCATGGCAGCTCCTCAGTGGAGCCCCAGACTGTCCTGCCCTGCAGCATGTGCCTAAAAGCTCAAGGGGATATTCCTCTGAGGCAGCCACTCCCACCACCCTGACCCTGTCTTTCTCTCTGGCCTGCTGCTCTCTGAACATCACATACAGCTTCAGCTTGCCTAGAGGCCAGAAGGAAAGGGCAGTGTGGGGGAGGCCTGAGACCAACCCAGCCAGCCCTGGCTGTTGTATTACCAAAGCAGGGTCCGTGTTTGCTGCCTTAACCCTGTCTCCTGTCTAATATTCAGAGGGCCTCATCTCAGACAAGGCCCAGCCTGCTTTTTTTCAGCCCTGACTTTTTAATGGGCTTTCTCCCTAGGTCAATCCTGCTGGATTTGTGCTTTTCTTTTGTGGTTTCTCTGGCCCTAAGAACAGCATGGAGCTTGCAAACCTTTGGGCTAGATCCTAACTTTCATTGCTGTCGTCTCTGCTCTTCCCTCTCCTGGCTGTGGTTATTTATTATTAGTGGTGTGGCACTGGGAGATGCTCCTAAGGAAGCAGGGAGCAAATCCCACCTTTACCCCACCTTCCTGGGAAAGGCCTCCAAAACAAAGGATCAGGACCGCTTTCCCTGTTGTTTTGTGACCCAGGCTAGAGCCTTTGGGCAGGCAAGCAGGGCATAGCGACGGTGTGGGACCTGCCCCCAGCGTCTGCCATGCTTTATGCCCTTGCCTCTCTGGACCCTCTGCACCAACCCCAGGCTACTGAGCCACGCTCCCTCCTCATGCCTCCCCTGGAGCTTTGGTGCATCTCATCTGGACTATGGGTTGTGTTGTGACCATCCCAACCCCTCACCCTCTGTCTACAAGGAAATGGGAGGTAGAGCCTCCTGGCTGAGAAATTGTTTTGCAAATGGATCTATTTTTGTATGAAAAAAATTTTTTTAAAGAAAACTCTTCCTTCCCCCTTTCCCTTCCATAATGTAAGAAGCTTTGGTGGCAGGTTCCAGAGTTCCTGGGATTTTTCCTCACAGGCCCAATCCTGAATGTGCCCCTGGATCTTCTGGACCCTTGAGGCCAAGGCAGATCTTCTCTCCCAGAGAATCTGGGGCAGAAGGAGCTTCCCCTTCTCTGGTTGAGCTGGATCAGGCCTAAGAGTAGCGGGAGCTCTAAGACCAGAGTTTTTATCAATGTATAAATGTATCAAGCCAAATGTGCAGATGCTAACTGAACGTTCTGGGGAAGTGGGCACCAGGAGTGCCTTTGTACACTGCACCCCAGCTCTCTTCTAAAAGAGAAGTGGGTGGGCACACTGAACTGTTTGGTGGCTCCAACATAGGAAGCTCCAATTCTCTGGCGTAGGGTGACAGTTTTGCCCTCCTTGTGCTCCTCTCAGCTTTCCATCCCTAGCTAGGAAGAAAATGGCACTCTTGGGCTTGGCCTAGAATTAGAGTTGTTAGGGCCAGAGGAAGCTTAGGAAACATGACGGTAACTACAGTGAGGCCTTACTGCCAGGAGCGCTTGTGTATAAAGGGGCAACGGCAGCTCCTTTGGGCTATTCCTGGGAAGACTCTGATGCAGGGCATCTGTTGCTCCCCTGGGTCACCTCCTTCTCCCTGCTCGCTGACATCTGGGGCTTTGACCCTTTCTTTTTTAATCTACTTTTGCTAAGATGCATTTAATAAAAAACATAAAAAGTGAAAAAAAGAGGGGTGGGGGACAAAATGCAAGTTTATTTCCCTTGCCTCTTAGGGTTCTGGATGTCATCACCTCCAGTTTGTTGGTTTTGTTTCCAACTGTTAATAAAGCATTGAAACAGCACTGCCTTACAGCTTCCTGTGTGAATTTCTGAGCTGTTTTCTTTTCTCTCTAGTCCAGGCTCCTCTAGTCTTTCCTGCCTCAAATCCCTGTTTGACCTGACAAATCACTATGCAGAAGCTAAAGGTGCCAGACACTTCGCTTGTGCACAGGGCTATAGATGATGAATACATGGTGGCTTCTGCCCCACCGGAGCTCACCTCAGGGCCGTTTGCCCACAGTAGAGGAGTAGGCACCTGGTTCAGCTCCCTGACTCTTCGACATTCCTGCTGCTTGGCTTGGAGCCCTTTTTTGGAACTCAGTTTTAACCCTTCATACCCCCAGATATCATACAAGGTTTCCTGGCAGTACCTGTGTCTCACTTAGGAAAGCATCTGACTCCCATTTTCCTGTCTCCTCTGCTCTGTTGGTGGCCACAGACCACGTTCCAGACTAGAGGGGCTAACCCTGGAGTGGAAACCTGAATCTGTCCAGCAGAGGTTGGGAGCCTGAGGTCATGCTCCAGATGACTTGCCACTTGGAGCCATACTTGTCTGAGTGCCTTGTGACCTACACATAAAGCCTGACCAGCAATGAGCAGGCCCAGGATAGACAGGGAGGGGCCGGGAGAGGACCACAAACCCAGTCAGACAGGCTCTGGAACTGGAAATAAAAGCCTTTTAAATAGCCCTGTACTAGGCAGCTGCTTCCCCAGTATGGCCTGAGGTGTGGGGATGGGCTGCCTGCCGCCTCCCTCCTGTCCCCCTGAGGCCACGCGTTTCTGGTTCAGAGCTTTATAGGCACACATACCAATTAGGGGACCAGCCACAGCTGCTCACGCGCTCTGCCAGTCTGCTGGCCGTGCCTGGAATAGAACCCAGGCGCCCGGCACCGCGCCCCTCCTCCGCCTGGCTTTGAGAAACAAAACCCTGCTTCCATCTCAGCAACCGCGCACACCACCCTTCCTCCCACGCTAGAAAGTCGCCCCCAGATTCTTAAGTTGGAAGGTTTGGTTTCCATGACAACAGATTTGAGCTGGCAGATTGGGTGACCTGGCTCTGGGAGGCTCCGCGGCGCAGAGGAAGTCGCATACCCTCGCTGACCGGCCAGATAACCCCAGTAGCTCTGTCTTTGCTTTCTTCGGTCCTTCCGGGTAATCCCCCCCGTTTAAGTCCCCCCTCCACCCCCAGCTGCAGCAACCTCGGAATCCCACAGTGCTTCGAAGAGGCAGGAGGAGGGGTCGGGGAGATGGGAGGGCAGGCGAGTGAGTGGAAAAGCACTGAGAGGAAGGAGGGGAGCTGAGTCTGCCGGCGATCCCAGTCCTGCACGTCCTTTCAGACCCTTTGACCCCCGCAAGAAAAGGATGAGCCCTCAGATTTCTTAAGCTTCGCTGCGGAGAGGTCAGGGGGGAGGCGAAGTCCAGATGGGGAAACTGAGGCTCGAGTTTCAGACTTGGCTTTCGAAGAATCGCCTCCCGCATTCCCTCCCACTCCCGCAGCGTTCCCAAAACCCCTAGGCAGCGGGGGTGGAGGTGCGGGGGCAAAGGAGAGTCTACCCTCCTCCCGCGAAGCCCTTCGGGGCGCTTCGAGGAGGTAATTTTCGTTGAGAAGGGGCTGGAACTAAGGAAACATCCTTTGCCACTCCCCCTCAACGCTGTTTGCCCGGCGCCAACCCGCCCCCGCTCCCGCCCGCGCCGGGGTCTCCTCTTCTGCCTGGAGACAGCCGCAAGCGTAGACTGCACACTCAGTTGCACACTGACACGCCTCAGATCCCCACCCCCACAGCGGACCCGCAAGCCGATCACACAACGGCACACGGTTCACAGATCCACAAGCACAGTTACAGTCAATCACACACTGTCTCATAGGCACAAGGGCATTGCAAGTATACGCAGCCATATTGCAGTCATACACACGCACACACACACAGGCAATTCGGAAACATTTAGACGCGCAATGACACAAAGTCACCTCCCGATTCCGCTCTTCTTCCAGCACCCACCTCTCAGCTCATCACTTCATGCACATATGCCAGGAGCTTCCATCGCTTACACAGAAACGTTCAGCCTTTCAGAAGAAACCTTTTTATTATGTTTTTGTCGAAGAAAAAAAGCCATATAAATATTAGAGTATAAAACTTGCGTGAGACACAGGAAGAGGGTGGGGTGGGAGCTACGTGACTATGCGAAGAGAAGTGCTTATAGGAGTGAGTACGGGGGAGGGGGTCGCCGCAGCGCGTGGACACAGCACAAAACACAACACGGGCCGCCGCGGGCAGATCGGACAGGCGGCTGCGCGGAGCCCGCCGCCCGCTGCCCACCCGCCATCACGTAAAAGCACACCGCACTACACTACTGGCTATTCTACACCAGCCGAAAGAGGGAAGGGGGGCTCTACACTACTGTAAGGGCAGGTCTGGGGCTCTCTGGCAGCCCCGCTGGATGGCCGGAGCCCCGGGGGCAGAAGCGGGTGGGAGAGGAAGGTCTATGCACAAGGAGGCACTGGGGAACTTTAACCAGGCTATGGCCACTAGGGGGCGCACTGGGGGCCTGGGCAGTGGCCTTCACGGAGAAGAAATGGCACCTGGTAAGGTGAAGGTCAGAGGCTTGAGGAGGGCAGGGGCCCTGTGGAGAAGCCCCATCCTGGACTGAGACTTTCTGTTCATTTGGTCCCTGCCCTAGCTCCCTGCCTCCTAACCCAGGGACAAAGAACGGCCTGGCCGGCCCACCCTTCCTGCTGGAGCTCCACTACCCCTCCACCAGTGGTACCTCTGGAGTACCCAGCACCCACAGAGGTTCCTCTGACCTCTCCAGGGGATCTGGTCCTAAACCTGCTTTGAGCTTCCTTATACTGAAATGCCAGTTTAATCCATTGGTCCTGGTAGCTCAGCCCAAAGCTGGCTGCCTGGGCTGAGCCCTATATGTAGTGGGGAGAGTCCAGCCTAGTTCTTGGTTTATGGCTGGAATTTGGAGGATCTTGTCAGTCCCCTGTGGACATACAGAGCCTCCTGCAAGGCCCTGATGCCGTGATGTGTCAAGCTTTGTCCATGCCCCCACCATCCACATCCACATCACTGCTTTATCTTACCACCCCATACTGTCTTGAAACATGCAGTCGAGTCCCTTGTTTGAGGAGGAGTGGGGGAAGTCACAGCATGCAGTGGGAATGTCAAACAATGAAAACCAAAACAAAACAGAAGACTGGTCCCCAGGCATTGGGAAGAGGCTTGGTAGCAAAATGCCCTCCCTAAATCCAGCAAGCATCTGTACCATGGGGATGGTGACCATGTCCTCCAAAACATGAGCATTGATCTCAGGCTCTGGAAGGAGGTGAGGGGGCTGGCACCAAACCATGCTTTGAGGGGAAGACTGAGAATCAAAAGAGAGGCCAAGAGGTCATGATGCCTTTCCGACTCTTCAGCACTAACAGCCTTGTAGGTTACCTGGTACCTCAACACCCCAACCACCTTACTCGAGAGAGGAACTGTTGGAGTGGGGTAGCGTGGGGAGAAGAGAGGCAGGGGATGGATGGGCCTGATTGATTTGGAAGATGGAGGAGTTCAGCTGTAACCAAAGGGGGTGTGGCAAATGGTTCTTGCTGTCTACACTAACCCCACTACCCCCATGGGTACAGCAATTGATTGGATGGGGGTTCCCAGCAGAACTCCCTTTGCATATTCAACCCCCTGGGGGTAAAAGGGGGTGGGTGTTGACTGGGCACTTGTTTCTGTTTCCCAAGGGGAGCATGACCTTGGCCCCTACCAGTTTTCTGGGGGTGAGCCCTGAAACTCTGAGGCCTGGGTACAGGTAAGGAGAAGCTGGGCTGGTTGGGGGGAGGCTGCCCTGTGGCTCTTGGCCTGGCCTCCACATTACTTCTTCTCCTTCTTGCCCGACTTCTTCTTGTTGCCATTGCCACCTGCTGGGGCCTTGCCATCCCGCTTGCCAGCTGCGTTGGTCAGTGTGGCATTGCTGCCTGGGATGTAGACGTTCTGGCGGTAGTCGGGCACATGCTGCAGGGTGAACTGGGGCCCATAGCGGGCGCTCAAGCCCATGGTGCCGGCACCCCCTCCCAGGGTGGAGCTCCCATCAGCAGCTTCTGCAGAGACAGAGGAAGATCAGGTGGGGGCTAAATCAGCGTTCTCAACAGTCACTTTCTTATACTCCCGCAGTTAATGAATGCCTACACGGCACCCTGGGCACTGACCATGCTGAGCTGGGAATACAGGGGTCACCAAGGTAGACTCTCTCCACAAGAGCTGAGGGTAGCGGTTAAGAGGCTCTGGAATGAAAAGTCTAGGTTTGATTCCTAGCTCCTTTCCTTACCCACTGTGATCCCAGGCAAGTCTACCTAACCTCCCTGTGCCACTTCAGTTTTCTCATCTGCAAAATGGGGATGATAATGGTCACCACCTCTTCTGGTTTTAGGGAAGGCTGAGTAAGAAAATGTATGTAAAGTACCTAGAGTAGTGCTGGTGGATGGAAGTGCTCAAAACACATTCGCTAGTATTTCTCTCAGGGCTGTGACACAGGCTCTCAGTTCCTTGCCCTGGTCCTTCTCAAGGGAGCCTCTGATTTCTCACACTAGACCACAGGCTCCTGGAGGGCAGCAACCATGGTTTGTACATGTCCCTAGCCTTTGCCAAGCAAGGCCTGGCATGGAGTGGAGATTCAGTAGTTCTGTTAGTAATTGTGCAGGGTGGGGGTGAGGGGCATTCTTCCAAGCCTCCATTTCAAAACAGCATTTTTTTTTGGATACAAGGAGTCCTGCTCTGTCACCCAGGCTGGAGTGCAATGGCACAATCTCGGCTCACTGCAACCTCCACCTCCCGGGTTCAAGTGATTCTCCTGCCTCTGCCTCCTGAGTAGCTGGGATTACAGGCAAGCGCCACAATGCCTGGCTAATTTTTGTATTTCAAAACAGCATTTGACCGCCTACCCTGTGCCAGGCACTCTGCCAGATGCTTCACATGCATGATCACTTTTAACCTCTGCACCACAGCCCAGCCAGATATGTGGTATGACCCCC